TCAAACACCTCATTTTAAAAAAAATCCCCACCTACATTATTTAGTCGAAGAACTATATAATTTGTTTAGGTTTAAATATACAAAATGTGTCTAATCTATGTCTGTTTTTCAGTTTTTAGGCTTAAATATATAAAAGGTGCCTAACCTATGTCCACTTTTCCAGTTTAGTGTTTAATGTTTATTTCGTTCCAGTTTGGTGCCTCACGTTTCATTATGTTACTCAAAATGGGTCAAGCCGTGATGGATCGTTAGTTTTCTCCGTTAATTAACATGTGTCACAATATGATAATTTTAAAAATTTTATATAAAATTGAAGAAAAAAATTATATATATTTTTAAAAAAGAGAACACAAATTTCAAATAACCCCAAAACTTTAAAAACATTCATTTCAACCTCTAAATCCACACCAACCATAACCCTTTGCTATCGACAAAGCCTCAACCCGACCTCACCTTCCCCTGGTGACCAAAACCCCTATGAAATTGTGACTAATCAACGACGAATCGATGTTTTATACTCGTAAACCCTAGGATGAAAATTGCAATCTCAAGCGATTTCGACGGCCAATCGACGACAACTACGACGACTTATAATTAGGTTGATGACAAGGACTACGCTGGCAGAGGTGGTCGGGGTCGGAAAGGACTCCGATGACGGGTTTGTGTTAGGATTTGAGGATTTTGAGTTTTTTTTGTAATTTAAAAGAAATAAGAGTTTTTATATAAATATAATAATATTTTAAATATTTTAAAAAATAAATTTCAAAATTATGAGATTGTGACACATGCCACTTAACGGAGAAAACTAATGGTCCGTCACGACTTAACCCATTTTTAGTAACAAAATAAAACGTTAGACACCAAACTGAAACAAAATAAACGTTAGGCACTAAACTGAAAAAACAGGCATAGAGTGAACACCTTTTGTATATTTAAGCCTTGTTTTCAAAACATTATTTGTTATTCTTTTCTTTAATTTATATATTTTATATTATATAAAAAAAAATTAAATATATGTGTTATAATATAAATACTAAAAATGTATATTAAATTAATAAAAATAATTAGATGTGATGAAAGGAATAATGCATGTAAAAAAAGAGAAAAATACAGTATAAGAGGGGGAAATTACAATCTAGGATAAATATTACGATTGAGGACGAACTCGTCATTCCAGTACAATAAATTTTAATAAAGTTTTTTTAAAAGAATTTAGAATTTTAGCAAGACTAGTTTTCGAAAAAATTTCACTTAAACGCGTCTTATTGGAACGACGAGTTCTTTTAAATTATAAGATTTATTATAACTCATCGTAGTGGAACATCGAGTTCGCCCTCTACTATAACAGTCGTCCTAAATTGCATATTTAAATTCGGATCCAAACTTTTAGAAACTGGGCGTTTACTCGGGAGTTGTCTGCACTTTTTTCTAATGCCCACAGCTCTATCGTTTAGGGCCCAAAAACATGAGATGGATCGCACCAAAGGCTTCATAATTTGTTGGTGCAAAACGTTAAGCCCCTATTTGCCTATGAGATTGGACCACAGTCGGCGCAGAAATGAATTCCATATTAATAAGTTTTTGAAGAGTTTAATTGAAATTTTAAAAATATTTTAGAGATAATGTAAATTAACAATGTTAAAAGGATTTAATTTAAAGTTTTTGAAGAGTTTAATTGCAATTTTAAAAATATTTTAGAGATAATGTAAATTTACCAAAACTTTAGGAGTGTCAAAACTCCCTCTAACCATGGTTAAATCCACCCCTCATCACATATTAATTAGAGATGACAAACTGGCGGGGCGGGTGCGGATACCCCTTCCCCTATCCCATATCTATCTAATATTTTTAAATCCACCACCCGTCCACCACCCATGATGGGTAAAATTTTTCAAATTCACACCCGCCCACTTGGGTACATTCTCAAATCCATCCCCACACCCACTACCCAACTGAAAACGTACCCGGTTAGACCCTGACAACAACCTTAAGTTATACATAAACAACAAATATAAAACAAACACAACCATTAAAGAGTATAATATTAGTCTCTACAATTATACCTAATACTTGGTTAAATTATAAGTTATATCTTATACAATATTAAGAATTAGTCTCTAAAATTATATCTAAATTCATAATGATCCAAAATTTAATGGGTATTTAGTTTGTGGGTGGATGTGGGGCGGACAAATGTAGGGCGGGCGGATGCGGGGCGGTAAGGTCTCAAACCCATCACCCGCCCACTACCTACGACAGGTACCACTTTCTAAGTCAATACCTGCTCATTACACACTAAAATTATATCCATCCCCGCCCCAATTCAAGCGGGTACGATGTGAAATCTACGAAATTATACCTGTTTGTCATCCCTAATATTAATAATTCGATCATACATAGATAAAAGAAAAACAAACTAATTTTTTTGCTTAATTCCACGTCATATTTGGCATCCCATGTCGTCTCCCTCTTATCGCGTATCGTCGTTCCATATTATTGAAATCCAACTTTATACTATATAAAAACAAAATAGTTTTAATTAATATATATTTAAATATTACTGTTTATACAGATGTACGTAGTAATTAAAATATGGTGTACAGGTGTAATATATAATAAGGGTAAAATACACAAATTATCCTCTGACTATAGGATATTTTTTTTGAGTCCCCTAATTATTAAAAGTTATAACATGGTCCTCTAATTATAGAAAGTTGCTTTGTCGAGTCTCTCGACTATTAAAAGTTACAAAATGATCACCTGACTATTCATTATATTTCAAACTCATATTTTTTCATTAAAAAATTAACGACAATCTGAGTTGGACATTAACTGATGATTGAGATATGATAAAATCTGATCTCATAATCCCAAACGACAATTATATCTTAATCGGCATGTTAACATCAAACTCAAACGATCATAATTTTTTTTAATAGAAAAGGAATAGTCAGATGATCATTTTTTAATTTTTAATAGTATATGAACTCAACAAAGCAACTTCCTATAGTCAGGGGATCCTTTTGTAACTTTTAATGGTAGAGTAACTCGACAAAATAATACCTATAGTTAGGGGGCCATTTGTGTATTTTAGCCATATAATAATTGACTAAAATAATAAACCGAATAATTATAAACATCAAAACTCCAACTGTCCAATCCCTGTGAAACAAACTTGTTTTTCAAATTAATGATTGGTTTGATTTTTTCTGAAAATAATAAATATAGTATTTTTTAAATTTAAAATAAATATAATATGTTTTTTTAGATATAATAAAAATGATTCTTAATATGATAATACTAATAGGGAGAAAATATTTTTAATATCTGAATTTGACTTTTTTTTGTTCAGATTGGTGTTTGTATTATTTTTGTTCCAATTAAGTCCTTAAACTTAACTTTTTGATTCAAATGGATACAATATTCTTTTTCAGTTGGGTACTTACATTTGGTTTATTGGTTCAAGTTGGTTCTTGAACTTTTTTTTTCCAACTAGATACCTAAACTTAACTTCTTGGTTCAAATTAGTACAAGAACTGTTCTGATTTAACTTGAAACTTATAATTTTTTTACTTCAAAATTTTTTGAATTTGTCTAAGTCTGTTCAACTTGAACGATATTTAATTTTACATAATCTAAATTGGACTAAAAAATTAAAGTCCAACTATCAATTTGAATCAATAAGTCAAGTTTAAATACCTAATATGAATAAAACAATACAAACACTAAACTGAACCAAAAAGCCAAGTGCATTTACTAATTTAAAACAAAAAAATCAAATATATGTGCGTAATTGGAAAAAATGATATAAATTTAACCTTGAAAACAAATTGGGTAAATTACATATTTGATATCCTACTTATTCTATGGGTTTTTGTTTCGATTATCTATTTTTTTAACAAAATCATATCTAATGTAATATTTTGGTCACTGATCGTTAAATATGACCATCTATTTATCAAAAATAGTGACATGAAATGATATAATAACAATTTTAGTCCTAAGAACTTATACAATATATCAATTTGATCTTAATTCAAAATAATTCAATAAATCATATCATTTTTCTCCTCATTTTAATTTAAAATAACTTAATATATTTAACCCTTTAATTAGATGATAACCTATATCATCATCTTATTGAAGAAAAAGTTTAAAAAATTGGAAAAAGGACAAGAAGAACGAAAGGTGGGATCTTAGATCTCAGTATAACATCTAACAGCTGAGCTAAGCTTAGTTTGAGTTAGTTTTTGTCTTTTTAATGTAAATATTTAAACATGTTATTTATGAGCTAAACACCCTTTATCCTTTCCTTTACCATCCTAAACAGTAAAATCTTGACCCTCGTTATTGTTCATTGATGGTTACGATATATAGACGCTAGATAATGATATTTTTTAACGAATGTTATGGTATATAAATTTAAAAGAGTAACGTTAGAAATATTAGGCACCTACATTGAACAAAAAAGTTTTTTAGACCTAAAATTAACGAATATAATTTGAACATTTATTTCTATATTAAATCAAAATATATTAAATGGTTAATCAATCAAGTGTCAATTTGATATAAGAAATAAATTTTAAGTGCTTAACTGAAATAAAAAATATAAATAATAAGTTGTATAAAAAATTAAGTCCATATATCAATTTGAAGGAAAGAGTCAAATACATATGTATGATATTTTAAAGTTAATAATTCACATCGACCAAATAAAGAAAAGGCTAAATTATTTGTTTTAGGCTAATTCCACGTTATATTTGCCATCCCATGTCGGCTACCTCTAATCACGTACCTTCGTTACATATTTTTCAGGACGCGTGTCACATCACCATTTGCTCATCCACACTGCTCGAAACTATGTCCGAAGTACATCTCCAACATCCGCACGTGCCATCAGCCTCCAGAGCCCTCTCATCAAGTAATCTTCTTACACGTGTCCAATCCCCTTACTTCTATATATATACCTGATGCCTTACTGCCTCAGAATCATAATCTAAAAAATCCAACTACTAAAGTTCAAATCCAAGCTTTTTGTTTCGATCTCCTTCGTTTTTTTTTCAAAGATCTGGTAAATGATCCAAAAGTCGAGCGGGTCGGGTCGTCGGTTTCTTACGAACCCGGCAATATATCCTTGCGGTTCCATTTCTCCTTTAACTCTTCTAAACTCTCTTATCGATCTCGGTGGAGACATTTGTAATTACAAATCCAAGTTTTTCTCCGTCAACAAGAGAAATGCTCGCGAAACGTTTCGTCAAATCTCGAACCTTCTTCTTTTCCTCCAGGAGATCCGAGATACTGAGTCGGATCTACCTGACCCGATCATCCTCAGCTTGTCGGAGCTCCATCTCTCTCTCCAGAAAATTATGTACCTTCTGGAAGACTGCACTCGCGACGGGACTCGAGCGTGGATGCTAATGAATTCAGATCGATTTGCGGAGCAATTCCGGATCGTGATCCGGGGGCTGGCAACGGGTCTGGATGTTTTCCCGCTTTCAACAATTGAATTATCGAATGAAGCCAAGGATTTGGTTGAGTTAATCGTAAGGCAAGCTAGGAAAGCAGCATTCGAGCCCGACCCGGAAGATAAAGAGGCTATGAAAGATCTCATGCGGATCCTGAACCATTTCGAGGAAGGAAACGCACCCGACCCGAATGAAATCAGACGGATCTTGGACCATCTCGGGATTCATAAATGGAGCAGTTGTAACAAGGAGGTGAAATTCTTGTACTCAGAAATCGGTACCGAGTTTTGCAACGGAGAAAAGAGAACAGAATTAGAGCTTCTGAGTAGCTTAATGGGATTCATGAGCTATTGCAGATGCGTAATACTTGACACCATTGACTTCGAAGGTCAACATCGCAATGGCCAATATAACAAGAGCAGCAGCAGCGAAGGTTTTAAAGGAATCAACGTCGATGATCTGAAGTGTCCGATCTCGTTAGAAGTGATGTCCGATCCGGTGACTTTATCGTCGGGGCACACTTACGATCGTTGTTCGATTTTAAAATGGTTCAGGTCGGGGAATGCCACCTGTCCCAAGACCGGCGAGAAGCTTATCACTACGGAATTGGTTCCCAATCTTGTCTTAAAGGGGATGATCCAACAATATTGCGCTGAAAACGGCCTCCCAGTCGTCGTTTCCAGGGGAAAGAATTGGGATATTTCGAGGACAGCCATGGCAGGGAGTTTAGCTGAAGAAGGAGCTGTAAAGATATTGGCTGGTTTTCTCATTAACAAAATTGTTAATGGAAGTAATGAAGAGATGAACAAGGCGGCATTCGAGATTCGGGTTCTTACGAAAAGAAGCATTTTTAACAGGTCTTGTTTGATTGAATCCGGCACGGTTCCGCTTTTATTGAAGCTGTTGTTGTCTGAAGATTCCAACATCCAAGAAAACTCCATTGCTGCCCTCTTGAATCTTTCAAAACATTCAAAAGGCAAAGGTGATATAGTGGAGAATGAAGGGTTGGATTTGATTGTCCATGTTTTAAGAAAGGGACTCAAGATTGAAGCTCAACAACACGCGGCTGCTACATTATATTATCTTGCTTCGGTTGAGGAGAACAGGGCCTTGATCGGTGAAAATCCTGAGGCTATTCCAGGATTAGTGGATTTGGTTAAGAATGAAAACCATTGTTGCAAAAGGAATGCTTTGGTTGTGATTTCCAGGCTCCTAGTGCATCCAGGGAACCATTGGAGGGTTCTTGCCTCTGGGGTTGTTCCTTTGTTGCTGAATCTTTTGAGAGATTCAGAAAGGGAGGATCTTTTTACGGAGTCTCTAGCAGTTTTAGCTACTTTAGCAGAGAAAATCGATGGCACGGTTGCGATTTTACGTCGAGGAGGCTTGAAGTTGTTAGTGGAGATTCTAAATACCTCCACTTCTAAGACCGCCAAGGAGCATTGTGTTTCCATGTTGTTGGCTCTGTGTATAAATGGCGGTCTCGATGTCGTCGCTCGTTTGGTGAAGAATCCTTCTCTTATGAGATCCTTGTATTCTCAACTTAGTGAAGGTACATCTCGAGCCAGCAAAAAGGCCGGTGCAATCATCAAGATTCTGCACCAGTTTTATGAAAACAACAGCCCCTCAACTTCAGCGACTCCAGTTCTTCCACAGGAACGATTCGTTCACGTGTGGTAATTCCTGATCCAACCTTTTATCTGTTTATCGGGTTTTTATTTGTTCATACATGTAATCTTTCCATGTAAATACACGCAAGTGTAGACACTGCTTGCTTGCTTTATTAGCTCGGTTTTTTTTGAAGAGCTAATATCCGCTCAGCTTCTACCTTTTTCAACGAAGCTGATTGAAAAAACAAAAGTATTTTAGCATTGTTGATAATAAAGGTCGCAAGGCCGTAATATAATGATGTAGAAACACACCCCTCATAATTGTACGCAGTATCATAATTCATTTGTATAAAAATCTTCCCATTTGTTGTACTATTCTTTCTCCATGTTTAGTAATAACATTATGCTTAAATCTCTCCAAACATGATGACTTACGTCACTTGTATTTCCTGCTTTATCCCTATGCATGACGAAGCTAGCTTGCGTATAAGGTCAAAAAGTTGAGTTTCAGGTCTGCAAATTTGCTTTCGTTCCCGTCTCTAGTGAGTTTTTTTTTTTTTTTGCCTACGAATTAGAAAAATCCATCCGGGATTTTTTTTCTTGAAATGGGAGAATTATTTTCATATACCAATGGCGTCAAGAATTACATGTCCCATAATACATTCCGCTACATCAAAAATGCATTGTCGGTCATAATCATATTCGCGCTTTGTTGAACATCAATCCAATCACCCAAATGTCATCTCATGAATTGGTCAAACGATTAACAATAGAGATAACTTCTCCCTCAATGGTCACACGTTCCCAACCATCCTCTGCTGTCATGCGCAGCCCTTTCATGAAGGCCATCGCCTCAACCACCCGAGTTGGGTTGGAAAGCCTCATCAACATTAATCTTGAAGCCCCATCCGGGATTTTAGTAATAGGAAGGATGAACATCAATTATAAACTTAATGCAGATTTTTGTTACCGTTTTTACTTGGAGGCAATGTTGTATGAAGATTCATATTAAGCACCCTTTGCCCTGAGTACTATGCAGAAACTGTAAACATCACCAGAGGCGATAACACGACGGTTTCTCAGTGTCAACAGAACCGAATGTTCCTCTCACTTCTGAGCGCATATGGGTTTGACCTATATTCATAACTTTAGACAACCCGGAATCTGCTAGCTATGTTTGAAATTTATCATCGATTAGGATATCCATTGCCTTGACAAAACAGAAAACACCATCATATACCTAAATCAGAGAAGACTAACAATTGAAAGACGAAAGGTAATTGTTGATTCCTTTGGTGTTGAATGTGCTTCCGACTTCCCGGATAAAGTTTTCAATATGTCCATCATTGATAACGTGCTTAACCGCCACGTACTGACATAGGAATGAACCAAGGTATTAAAAATTTTAAATTATCATATATTTTGAATATTTTTTGTATATTTTTTATTAATAATTTATTTGCACCCCTAAAGTTTTAAAAATTCACCATTCTAACGTAAAACTAATTGCAGTCTTTTTTAGGGGTGTAAACGAGCTGAGTCGAGCTCGAGTATTGCCGAGCTCGACTCGAACTCGAAAACTTTAAATGTAGGCTCGACTCGACTCGAAAACTCGCAAGCCTAAAATTTTCAAGCTCGACTCGAACTCGAAAGATAATATTAAAACTCGACTCGAACTCGAAAAGGCTCGAACTCAAAAAAAATTCAAGAGCTCGATTGAAGCTCGAGACTCAAGCTCGATTGAAGCTCGATTTTGAGCTCGATTCAAGCTCGAACTCGATTAAAGCTCGAACTCAAACTCGAATTTGATCCTACAAAAATCTTATATTACATTTAAAATATATAAATAATTTTCCCTTTAATCAACTATTACCAATACATTATAATATGAATGTATGAACTATAAAAAATCTAAAAAATAAAAAATACAATTACAAGAAATTTAGGATAATTAATATAAGTTTTGAAGTTTTTTATAATAATTATTAGTATTATTATTACTCATGTTTATTATATTAACATGTGGTGCAAATCGACGAGGAAGCCCGAGATAGTGCACCACCCACGTGAACCCACCGAGGAAGACCCATGCTGGTCTGCCATCCACCGAAACCAATGATGTCGTCGCCCATGCTGGCCATGCTCGAATCCATGCCCTGCAGACACACAAAACAAGGGACAGAGCACCAAGCACAAAACAAGGGACAAAGCACCAAGCAAAAACAAGGGATAGAGAACCAAACACCAAAACCAATACTAGGAATGATAATTAACAACTTATGCAGCAGTTGATAAGAATTAAATTGTATCTATGGGACATGTAAAATAATATGTTTCTGGGAAGAATAAGGGGAGTGAAAATTTTGAAATATACAACGAATGAACCACCAGATAGAATACAAAATATAAAACAATTTCAACCTTAGATTGTATTCAAAGATATAATTAATCAAAAATTTATATAACCTTACTTGTGACATTCACATATGTCCTAATCACTAACGTGAAAATCTAATGTATTGGTTCACCTAAATAGAGTTATGAAATTGAACAACCATATATTTCTTGACAAAACCATATTCAATTATCAGCGGAGTTTTCTGCAACCTAAATCAACATAAATAAAGAAACCACTATAATAAGATAGTGTGGTATTTGTCCACTCACCTGAAATCAATCAAAGGTCGAATATAATTTTGACCAAACTTGTAGTAGTCAAATGGCTCCCGCAAAGCTTTGTGGTAGGGTTGAAATACAAAAGGATCTTGAAAAGCTACCGTCATATTTCATGTAGAAGTTCATAACAACTTATAATCGAAATGCAGTATCTGAAAAGGAAGTTCATAAAAGTTACAAACTGTAGATTCATCTTGAAAGAGCATTTTAGAACAATTACCTCTATATCCAAAAGCACACGATCAAGTGCAACAGCCATGTTCGACAACACAACTTCAGCAGCAGCGAGATCTCCACTGTGAAAAACCTAAATGTTGTCACATGCGAAAGATTTTCTCTTTTAAGTTTTCAGATATACAGGTAAAAGATACGCAAGAATGAAAAAAAAGTTCACCAAGATTTTCGAAGGGCATAGATCGTGTACTGAGGAGAACATATCATATCTAGAGCATACATTAATGTGTAGTAAAGTTTGGGTTTCTTGCCTAGGCCAGCGAGGAAAGAGTGGTCCAGGCGTTAGGACTCTTCATCGGAGCTCGTGGGGACGGCGAAGGCCGCGGTGGTCGTGGTCTGGCATGGTTACGGAGTGGTGAAGCTGGGTATTTACGAGGGTATTATGGGTTTAAGTTTAAGGTTTTGGGGATGTTTTTTATGAAGGTTGTCACCGAAATATGTTTAGGAGAAGTTTAAGCTCCACATCGGAGCACTAGGCGACTGAAGCCACAGAGGCTGTGGGTCTCTGTTAGGGTTGAGCGAGGAAAAATGATAGAAGTTGAAGTGTAGAACTCCGTTGAAGAAAGGCGAGAGGAGCGGCAGCTGCGGGCCTGTGACACTGTTTTCTGGTTTGCATGAGAATGAGAGGGGGAGAGTTGGAGAAGGTTAGGGCGTGAGGCTTGAGCGACTGAAATGAATATTTAGTTTATGTTTGTTTTAATTTAGGTTCTAAACCCTAATTAATTTTGGGGTTAATTATCGTTTAGCCACAATAACCTTAGGGGTAAATTAGCTTTAGGCTCTCTAGATTTATGCGTTTTGTACAAAATAGTCCCTCAATTATTTAAATTTTAGCTTAAATTAGTCCTCACATTTAGATTTTTCTTAATTTAGTCTCTGTTTAGGATTGTTTTCTTTAATTAGTTGTGTATATTTATTTTGCATGTTGATATGTTTATGTATAAGTATGTGAATAATTTATTTATGAGCCACATAACATCATTTTGTATAATTTGTATGTTACCTTCATGGCATAACTTAAACCCTAACACATAAACCCTAAACTCTAAACTTTAAACCTTAAATCCTATCATAAACTCTAAATCCTAAACCCTAAACCTTATCACATAATTAGTTATGAGGTAAGTACAATATAGTATCTTGATATTAAATACTCAAACCATTGATATTTATGATATTTGAACCCAAAACCTCAAAATATAACAACAATTTAAAAAATTAGTTATTACAAATATTATCATTAGAAATATATAAAATATTTGTCATTAGAGAAATAATTTTTTTATCAATTTAAAATAAATATAAGAATATTTATTCAAAAATAATTTTTAACCATTTTCAATTCAAGAATATTTATTCATCAATAATGTATTTTTAATATATTTTTAATAATGTAATTTTAAAAAATATAAAATTATAATATAATATTTTTTCGAGCTGCTCACGAGCTTTTCGAGTCGAATATCGAGTAGCTCGTTTCGGCTCGTTAAGAACTCGAGTCGAGTTCGAGCTAGAGTCGAGTCCATTCGATCCGAATATTTATCGAGCCAAGATCGAGTCGATCTCGAGTAACTCGCGATCTGTCTCGTCTCATTTACAGCCCTAGTCTTTTTATCTAATAAAATTGTTCGTCCAACTGTTTCTGCCTGTAATAATACTTGTCATACACAATTTCGAACCAATTTGATTCTTGATAGAATAGAAATGAAAAGGATAAAGCTACCTCATGTAGTGAGATGAATAACCAGTTAGTTCATTCCATATGGTAAAGACAATATGGAGGATACCATCAATAATGCTCTCTTCATTGAGAGAGGCCAAAAAAAGTAGAAATGCTGAACAAAAATGAAAAGGGTTGATATTAACCGATATCGCGCCTAGAAGTATTACAAACTCAACAAGCCTGCTCCCTAATTTAGTCTACATTTAGTCTTTAAAATAACAGAGGCCGAAAAAGAAAAGATATCCATTACTCACCCCGACGGTGATCAAAATCTCAGTCCTGTAGCAACACAGGAACCCACAGCACGACAACAATGTTAGATCACGATCTCAACCGCAAAGCCAGACCAGTCTCAACTTTTTTAATTTCGAATATCAGCATCCTCCACATCTTAAGTACAAACATCTCTGCCTCTTCATCTAATATAGACTGCAGCAGCTCCAGCATTTGTGAAGCCTTGACATGTTCCTGAGTACTCGATACGATGTAATCAACCAGTGTTTTCTCTTCTTCTCCCAAGAACTCTGTAATTTTCTTTGAAATCCAGGGTCTCATTCTCTCATGCAATGCATGCTGTACAAGTGCAACAAAACAAGAGAGTACCATATTAGAATTACGATCAGGAGTGAATTGGGTTTCACCACCAGCAGAGGGATTACACAATCAATCGACTATGCAATTGTAAATTCTAAATATTTCTAACAGACACAGCATAAGCCCTACCCAACTATCTTAAGATCTTCTGTTTTTCCCCTAATTACTGTTAGCCTTTTGGAGAATCTCTACAATGAAAAATAAAAAAAAATCTGCATCATAGAATTCCAAAAACCGTATAGTGCAATATTCATGTTAGTGCCATATATGCCCAGGACAAATAATAAGCCTAATGCAATTGAACTTAACATTGTGCACAATTTTAACCAGTTAACCAAGACCAGAGGACAGATGTTTCTCGAAATTAACAGTTTGAATAAGATGTTAAAAGATGATTACCTGGTCATATACATTCCAGTTTATCTCATATGAAAATAGTTCCTCCTTGGTTTTTGGAATCATATCAATCAATTGTTTTGCGTCCAAAAGCTTCTGACTATCTGTTGTTTTCACCTTATCATGTCCATGCTCCCTGTCTCTATCCCGATCAGGGATCTTCTCTTTGGTCTCATCTCTGCTGCGAGTATTATCCTCATCATTACGATCTTTATCCCTACTAGATTTATCATATGAACGTCTGCTTCGCTCTCTTCCTGCATCAGGCTTTTCCTCTTTAGTATTAACATTTGATATTCGCTTTGCAAATTCAGCAGCAGCAACCAAATTGGGTGGAGGTGCACCAGGTTGGACAGCCTGCAGTTCCTCAGTAGAGTAATCAATGGGAACCAGGGGCCTCATTTTCTTCTCCTTCTGTGCATCATCATCTTCCTCCTCATGGAAAACAGATGGTACAGTAGTCCGCTTTCCAGATCCAACAAGACCAAAACCCAACTTTCTTGCTGGAACATTCCCACTCTGCCGTGTATCTGACGCAGAAACAAAGGCCTCGTTTGATTCATCAACAGAACCATTTTGCATATTCTCATCACCTATCACACACAAACAGAGATCATTTCAGAAAAATAAATATATAAAACAAGATGAACACACCAATTAAATTACAACAAAGCGGAGAAGACAAAAAATACCAGTTATCTGGTTTTCATGACTTGATTCATGCTCATAATGCTGTTCAACTGACTTATCTTTTCTTTTGGTGCTAGCTTCTTCAGCCAACACAGTCTTTTCAGCTCCATTTGCAAAGCGACCAGAGAAAAGCTTTAGTGCATCTCTTTGCTGCTGCAGTTGCAGCTGCTGTTCCTCTGCCCTTTTCTTGGCCTCAGCAATTTCTTTCTCTTCTTTGAGTCTATCAGCCAAGTCATCCTCCTTTTCCCGAAACCTCTTCCTCCTCTTTTCCTCCAAAATACTCCTGCGCAACCTTTTTCTCGAATCATCATCATCATCTTCCTCTTCATCATAGCGAATCTCCTTCTTTCGTTTGCGCTCCCTCTCTTTCTCCCTCTCCTTCTCATACTGCCTCTGCTTCTCCTTCTCCTTTTCTCTTTGCTCCCAATCTCTAAGAAATTTTTCATACTCGCGCTCTGTCTCCTCAATCTTCCTTCTCTGCTCCCTCTCTTTTCTCATCCTTTCCCGCTCTGTTTCTCTTTCTAGTCTCTCAATTTCACGCTCCTTTCCCCTCTTAAGATCTTGCTCTCTGTCTCTACTCCTATCATGCCTACGATCAGGTGAGTTTGTCTCAAGTCGATCATTTTCATTTGTCACTTTACTCTCACTGGTAGTCTCATCATCATTTTTAGCTTCAGCTCCATCTGCAAAATATGCACTCAATATCAGAATATCCTATATTTGAAAAATAATAAGTATCATTAATTCCTCCAGTGTGATTCTCATTAAAATTTGAGGACTTCCGTATAGATTTTGATGATAAGGCATGATAAAGACAATAGAGAGATCAACAAAACCACAAAGATAGAGTGGCAAAAGCTCACCATTTCTCATTAAATCAACATCTGAATTTGATTTTCCAGAGGCATCAGGAGCAGTTAGTGGAGGAGGTGGAGGGAGAGGATTGGTTTTTAACCTCTCCTCAATCATGCCAACAAGCTTCTCTGAAGCATCTCGATCAGCCTCACGGTCTTCATTAGTGACGATGCCAGAGTTGGCAATGTCAACAATATTTTTTTCTTTGTTGTCACTGCTCTTGGAATCCTCAACAACTTCTGTTGAGGATTCAGTCTTTTCATTAGACACTGTATTTTCACCTTCTTTATCAGACCCTGCAGCTGGAGCTTCATTTGGTTTCTTTGCATTTTCAGTTTTCTTTTCGACATACTTCTCCAGATAATCCTTTGTTGCTTGATTAACGTTTACCTGTTGGTATATATCAAATCAATGAAACAAGATAAGAAGGACAACAAGTGACCAAAGGCAGAAATAAATTGTTCAAATAGAAGCATCCGCTCACAGGCACTGAATAATATATCGATTTACCAGTCATTCTAGGATAACATAGACCAGAACCATTTACTGCTTAAGGAATATTACTTAAGGACTCCCACTTACTCTATGGAACATTTAACCAACACTAAAATAAGCTATTTGGGAATAAAAAAGGCATTGAAGTTCCAGTAAAGTGGCCGTTGAAACAATTTTAAGGTGAATAAATATCTAGGAGGATTCAGAAAAGAGATGAGGCAATATACTGGTTGAAAATAGGTCATAATGAAACAACTGCAATTAACCAGAAAAGATTAAATCTATATTACACCTTAATGTTATTCATATTTTTTTACCATGTTATACATAATTCATCATACCATTCAATTTTATATTCCATACATAATTCAGTTTATAAGATACAATCATTTTAAATTCAAGTAAAAGATAGTAGTTTAATCAGATTCAGTTTCTAAATAAACTGAACAGCTTGTCATGTGAATGAAATGCAATAATAATTTAACCTTCATGATTTTCAATCATAGTAAATTTAGAAGCAACCCTATCACACGCACACACAAAACAAAATAAAATAAAAAAACTTAAGACAATCATGGGGGATTGAAAAAAATAATAAAAAGAACTCACCATTAATTCTTGTCCTTCAATATTAAGTTTGCTAAGTAGTCGTAAAGCACGAAGAACTCCTTCAGCGGACTCAAATTCACAAAACCCAAAACTTTTTGGAGCTCCATTAGAGGGACGTTTCCAACTCTTGACAGGTCCACAAAGCTTCAAATAGTTGACACAAAAACATGATATAAATCCAAAGCTAAAAAATAAACATCACCGAAGCTATTTCAAATATGAAAAAGTACATCAATAATAATATCTCACATGAAGAAGAGAGAGCATGAAATCATTGTCCACAGATGGTGATATCTTGCCAATATAAACTGTAGTTTGTGGTTTCTCTTTAGGAGTAACATTGGGAATAGACGGTCTAATGACAGGAGCAATAATTGGGCGAATGCCAGGAACAGGAGGCCGTGGAACTGTTGGAACCACACCAATAGCTCCAGGTGGACGTGGTGGGAATGCAGGCCGAATCATTGCTGGGTAAGGAGAAGGATAGCGGAGAAGTCCTGCATAAATGGAAAACAAATATCTATGCAACCATATCAGAGCAAGTTGGCAAAATAAACACATTGAAAAATGTTTGCAGTGTAACTAAGCACTCTTACAGGAAAAGAATTTTCTAAAAGAATAATTAAATGATTTTACCACACATTAAAACTATAAAGAGATGGCACCACACGCATGGAAACTATCACCAGCTGAATAGCAAACCTGAAGGAAACATCAAGAGAATAGCATCGATTCATAATCATGGCTATGTAGAGTGCACTTACCTTGGACATCCACTTGTTAATAGCCTTATCACATGCACCAATTGCACAATTTTGAAGATTGGATAACATGAGACTTCCAGCATCTCATGCTTGCAAATGAATTATTTAACAAAATTCAATTTTCATATTTCACCATTTAAATGTATCTCAACTGTTAGAGCCCAAGTGCCACAGGAAAAAACACAAAGTGGAGAGAACAAGAAAGAAAAATGTAATTGGGAGGATTGTGATACCTTAGAATACAAAGCCAAGGAGCACTCAGTTGTTAACATGGTCTGCTGCTGGCAATTCATAAACCCATGAATGGGAAATTATCCTTAAAACTACCAAAAAGTATACATCCTACTAAAAAATGAACATGACAGAGTGTGCAATGATTTAGAAGAAAATGGCATAGTTATGAAGTTACCAGAACTCTTCAGCACGCTTTTTTTACATATGTCCATTAAAACTCTAGGTGGCTTTAACTTGAATATGATATTTAAAATCTATATTTCCTTTGAACTCAAAATGCAGTTAAGGAAAACCCAATTAAGGCATGCCAAATAGAAGTGGGGTTCAATAAGCAAATTTGAATTGAAGCCCCTTCAACATGTCTTTCAACCGTATTCAATCAAGACACTTTAGGAGAAAACATCCCATCCGCGCCCCTTCTTTCCATACCTTTCAAAAAATTCCTTACCATTCAATCCCTTCGCTTACATTAACTAAGGATATTACCAGCACAATCATAACATTTGCACCAGAAAAATATCACAGAAAAGGAATAAGCACAAGAACATACATATAAAAAAAATACACATATTCAGATTAAAAATCAATGTTTGAATTAAATTCACAATTATGCACCCACTTTAAATGGAAGGAGTAACCCACCCGGAGGACGCATGGTGCCCGGAGGAACAACTCCCGGTACGGCTGCATATCCATTTGGAATCGAAGCAAACGGTCTAAGAGCAGGATTCGGAACCTGACCCGGAGGCACCTGATATTGCATCAACGGCGGCGGAACAGAACCAGGGGCCGAACTCACGCCGGGCGGCTGCAAGCCAGGAGCTGGAAAATTCGGTAACGGCGAGAACTGTGGAACCGGACGGAAGGAGGGAGGCGCCGGAGGGAGGGCGGTGGCAGCTCCGGAGATCGGTTGTGGAGGAGTCGAGTAGGAAGGAATAGCGGGAGGAGGCTGAGGAGACACCAAGGACACGCTAGGGTTAGGGTTTTGTGGGAGCTGTGCTGTGGTCAAGGAAGGAGCGGGATCGGGTTGGGCGGGTAGCGGATTCGGGTTATCGGAATCGGATTTAGATTGGGAATTGGTAGTATTATCTATGGCTGCGGAAGAGGAGGAAGAATCAGCCATTGAAGGAGAAAGAGATCGATCGATTACTTCAGTAAAGTTTTTCGAAGAATTTTATTAATTTCAAATAAAAGTTCTTAAACTTTCTGTTTTATGATAAAACTTCAAATCAAAATCCAATCTTCAGTTAATGTTGTGATCTAAGTTGCCCTAAAACCTTTATATATAACATAAGTGGAAGGGAAGGAAGAAGCGCGTGAATAAGTTAATTGGGGGAACGACTCCCTGCTTGCCGGTGTACGATTATTGGTTTCAGTTTCCTTAACGTGGCGCTTTTTAATTGGCGGGGAAATTGATGTGAATAAATAATTTTGAAAATAATTTGTGAGTCGCCATCGGCCTTTTGGATCAGGTAGGTCGAATACCTAAAAATTATTTTCTTTAAAGAGTTTTAAGAAAACATCAATAAAAAAATTGAACTGATCTGCGTTTTATAACCAAAAATTCGTTCTTTTTAATAAAAAGGGATTTGTGGTCGGTTACGTTTAGGGAAGGATTAGCACCCCTACAACGCCCAAAATTGGTACTTTTTAATTATAAATTGTCTCTATTATTAAAATTTAAAAATTCAAAAATATATTTAATTTTTAATCTTATTATTTCAAAACTATATAAAATATATTTATTTATTTAAAAATATCAGAAAAGAACTTCTAGGTGCCTTAAGACAGCTCTTTTCTTTGATATTGATAAATATTAATTTAAATAATATTGTTTACTTTTTAATTTTAAAATATCAGAATAGGACATCCAGTTGTATTAAGACTGTCCTTTTCTTCAATATTAAAAATAAATATTTAAAAATTACTATTTATTATATATATATTTATGAATATATAAAAATATTAATCAATATAATAAAAGAAAAATACTACTAAAACAAATATTTAAAAACAATAAAATAAATGAAAACATATAAAATAACTGACTAAATTACAGTAAAACAAAAATCTAATTCATAATTAATCAAAATTATAAGGATTAAATATGTTATTTTCTTATTTAATAATTTAGTGACTAAAATAAAATTATTTAAAATTCGGATATTATAATAAAATAAATTAAAAATATAAACTAGGGATTAAAAAATTATTTATTAAAATTAAGGGATTAAATCCGTTATTTATCCTAAATATATTATTTTAATATAAAGGACTAAAATGAATAAAATTGAAATTCGAAGACTGAATTAAAATTATTATAAATTTGATTTAGTGACTAAAATGTAAAGTTTACAAATTATGAGGACTGCGGATGGGGTTTAACTATTGTATAATTACGCGCATAGTCCTTCCCGAAACGACGTCGTTCGGGAAGGACTATAAAAGGTCCAAACCGGCTGGCCCGAAGGGCCAGTCTTCATTTTTACTTCTCCTCTCTCTCTCTTCTTTGAGAGAAAAAAAATTTTCTCTCTCGCTTCTCTCTAGAACAGAGAGAAGCCAGCCGGCCGACAGCCGTCAGTCGGCGTTAGTCCGCCGTCTACCACCGTCGCCGGCCACCGTCTTCGGTGGCCGGAAATTTTTTTTTTACATCTAAACGTAGATCGGACCGTCCTAATGACGGTTCCGATGTTCTTTTCCGTTAAACGGCTCCCAATTGGAGCAAATCTAAAACGAATACCTTCGGTTTTTCGAAGGTTTTGGTGAGATCCGGCGTTTGGCTTCCTCGGTAAGTCTCTTCTTCCTTTTTCTTTATTTTCTGGTTCTTTGCTGCTGAGATCGTTGGTAATAGTTTGTATCTTCTCTGTTTTTTTTTTCCGGTTCTGTCTTTCTCTTTTTTTTCTGTCTCTCTGTCCCGTCGTTTTTTTTTTCAGGTTCGGGTGGTGGCTTTTATAGCCACCACCGTTGTAGCCGTCGGACCGGTCTGAAGAGGGGGTCTCGGTGAGTCACCGGACTACCAGTGGTGACTCACCCCGTAGCCGTGGCGTGGACGTCTGGCGTTGGAGCTTCTGGAGCGTTCGGTTGGGACGTGGCAGCGGCGGAGGCGGCGAGATAGCAGCGGCGGCCGCGTGTCCCTAGGGTATCAGACCCTAGGGTTTCCATCTGGGGCAATCTGGACCGTTGGATCGTGCCAGATCCAACGGTTGTGATGAGGCGGCCGGCTAGATTAGGGTTAGGAAACCCTAACTGGAAACCCCAAATGTTTAGGGTTTTTGGTTTGATTTGGACCGGTTCTGGTTTGTTTGTAACTGGGCCGGTCCAGTTATAATTGGTCTGTAATTATTTATTTATATATTTATTTAATATGTATTTAATAATAATAATAATGATAATGATAATAATAATAATAATAATAATAATAATAATAATAATAATAATAATAATGATAATAATAATAATAATAATAATAATAATAATAATAATAATAATAATAATAATATGGATAAAAAAATTAGTATCTTCAGCTGCCCCTCTTTGCTCATTCTTGTGTTAACAAGAATAGGGCAAAGATGAAAAGATAATAATTTTTTTTTATCCATTTGGCTTTACTTTGATCATAATGGATATATTGAATAAATTCTTCTCTCTCTCCAGATGAGTTCTTCTTATTATGAACTTTCTGCTGGGGATGATGATGACCTCCTTTCTGTGATAGAGTCATTCAAAAGGTTGAATAAGCTCTTGATGAATTCTTCTCATTATGAACTTTCTCTAGAAAGACTGATGCTAATCTATCTCCTTCTGTGATAGAATTATGCAAAAAGTTGAACAAGTTCTTCTTATTATGAACTTCTTCTTTCTTCTTCAGATGAGTTCTTCTCATTATGAACTCTCTCTGGCAATGTTGATCTATCAAATGATGAATTCAAACCAAAAATTTGAACAAGTTCTTCTCATTATGAACTTCTTCTTCCTTCTTCAGATGAGTTCTTCTCATTATAAACTTTCTCTGGAAAAAATAATCCATCCAGTGATGAATTCAGATAAAAGGTTGAACAAATTCTTCTTATTATGAACTTCTTCTTCCTTCTTCAGATGAGTTCTTCTCATTATGAACTTTCTCTGGAAAGGCTGATCCATCAATTGATGAATTCAGGTAAAAGGTTGAACAAATTCTTCTCATTATGAACTTCTTCTTCCTTCTTCAGATGACGAGTTCTTCTCATTATGAACTCTTCCTGGCAATGTTGATCCCTCAAATGATGAATTCAAACAAAAGGTTGAACAAGTTCTTCTCATTATGAACTTCTTCTTCTTTCTTCAGATGAGTTCTTCTCATTATGAACTCGAACTGGAAAAGCTGATCCCTCAAGTGATGGGTTTGAATCTTTGCTAAAGTTTTTGAAATTCCTGTTAAAAATTCAACATAGATGAAAATGAATGAAAATGCACCTATTTTTGTAAACACCTAAAATATGATGCATGAATGTTAATTTATTTGATTTCAGATTGGTGAATTGAGTATTTCTTCAATTGTAAAAACCCAATAGATTTTTCTTCTTCAAATGAAAGAATCTATCATCTTTGACCAATGTAGATATAATGTCACAAAAATTTCTTGAGAATAAAACTCAATAATACAGGCTCTTGAAAAACTTGCATTCAGGCAACATGTTGATTCTGATAACAACTCATCTGATTATGAAGTGACCTTTCAAGATGATTTCACAGATATCGATAGTTCTTCTAATACCGAGAAATCTTGAATTCTGATTCTGATGAGGAGAATGAACTGTTATACTTGACAAAAATGGGATTCTCAAAGGCTGAAGCTTCAATAGCCATGTAGAGATGTGTGGTCCAAATTCATCAATTGCAGTATTGGCAAATTTTATATGTGCTGTTCAAATGACTAAAAATGCTGACGCACTTCTTCCGGTAAAAGATGGGAAGCCATTATGTACTGATCCCAATTACAAGAAAAGACGAAACTTGTGCTATGATTTTTGGGAAAGGAATAAGCAAAAGAAGCTTGAAAAGAAGCTTCTTAATGAAGACGATCATGCAGTTCATCTTTTAATTCCAATGATTGGTTCTGTAGTTCCTACCAAACCAGATCAGATAACTCAAAGAACACTTCCAGAAGATGCTATTGAGTCTCCTTATTTCTACTATGAGCAAATTCATCTTCCAAATTCAATGATTGGTTCTGTCCAACCAGATCAGATAACTCAAAGAACACTTCCAGAAGATGCTATGAACAAATTCATCTTCTAAATTCAATGATTGGTTTTGCCAAACCAGATCAGATAACTCAAAGAACACTTCCAGAAGATGCTATGAGCACATTCATTTGTTCCATTTAATGTTTGGACTGGGATATCACAGTACTTATTCGATGTAAAGCCAGAATTTGTAGATTCGAAGCATTTTCATGCTGTCACACTGAAAATAGGCTATATTCATAATCTGCCAATTAAGAACAGAGTTTCTCTTATTATGCTTCCTCCATGTGCTGATGCTTTTCCATTGACAAAGAAATGATGGCCTTCTTGGAATCCAAAAACAAAGTTGAACTGTTTATAAACTTGTACAGGAAGTGCCAAATTGACAGAAAGGATCTGTAAGGTTCTTGAAGCTTATGACAATGAGCCACCTTAGAGTATCCAGAAGTATGTTCTTAATGAGTGCTGAAAATGGAATCTAGTATGGGTTGGAAGGAATAAAGTTGCTCCACTTGAACCTGATGAGGTGGAAATACTTCTAGGTTTCCTTAAAAACCATACATAAGGATCTGTTTAGAGACATGTTTCCCAGTGATATCAATGTCTTGTTTCTTTTTGCTGGAATCAGTGCTGCAAAGATCGCCTTCTACTGTCTTAGTATATCTTTGAAAACAGAGGTGCAAGAACTGAATGGTGATCGGTTGGAGCAATTGATGAGTAGATTTGGCGGATTTGACCTTGTTGCCGGTAGCATCCCGTGTAACAATCTTGATGTTCATGGCTTTAAGATGGTGATGATTTGCTTATTTTGTATTCCATGTATTTAAAAGTATTAACATAAAGTGATATTCAGAAATCTTTAATTTATTTCAAAATTATGTTAAATCATAGAAGAATAAATTGAATTTCCAAAAATAAATTGAATCTCAAATAAATTGAACTTGAAATAGATAGAATTGTATCCAAAGTTCTGGCAAACATAAGAATAATAAAAATTCAAATGTCTCAAC